AAATGAACCTCTGCATCTTTTGTTCTGCTTCTAGGTTTTTGTTGGGTTTATTTTTTTTTTCTTAACATTTTGTCCATTTTCATGACACTAACAACCTGAATTGAAAATAAAGCTGTCCTAAATGTCATATGTATTTTAATCTTAGTCATATGCTTCTGGTAATCAAATGATGGTTCACTTTTATAATCCCAAAGTACGTGTAGTTCCACACTGACCAAAGAAAGACCTTTTCCTCAGTTTCAAGTGCAGTCCCAATTTAAAACACCCTGCCCCACTACCATATCTCAAGCTAGCCTCAAGACAGTAGCCTGGAGGTGCTGGCGCACACCTTTAATCCCAGGCAGAGGAAGCAAAACCTGAGTTCAAGGCCAGTCTGGTCTATGTAGGGAATTCCAGACCAGTCAAGGCTACATAAAGGAGACCTTGTCTAAAAAAAAAAGAGAAAGATAGTCTACCAATAAAGGCGTTTCCAGACTACATAAAGTGCCAGGGAACAACAAAAGCCACATTACACTTCCTATATAAAGAATGTCAAATTATAGTCTATAAAGTATTAAAACCCTCTAGGAGCGCTTTGTTAGTCTTTGTTTATAGCTTAGAATGGAATATCTCAACGAAATGATGAAATGCCTGACTAACCAGACACATTTAGACTTGGAAATAAGTGTGGATCAGGAAGTATTAGGTAAAAATGTAACAACAGACAAAATGTTTCTATTAGTCTATGTATTGGTTTAAGAGAATGGTTTCCATAGGCTCCTGTATTTGAATGTGGCCCCAGTTAGGAACTGTTGGACAGCTTGTATTACTTTGTGTGTGGGTTTTCGAGTTTCAAAAGCCCAGCCATTTCCAGTTTCTCTTGGTCTCTGTGTCTTTCTGCTTCATGCTTGTAGATCAAGATTTAAGTTCTCGACCTATAGTAGTAGTAGTGGGTGGTGGTGGTGGTGGTGATGGTGGTGGTGGCACACTCTTAATCCCAGAGCTCAGGAGGCAGAGGCAAGAGAATCAGAGTTCAAGATTAGCATGATCTACAGAGTGAGTTACAGGTCAGCCAAGGCTACCCAAAAAAATCCTGTAAATTCTAAGCTATTTTTACAGGGCCCTGCCTGCCTAACTGGCAGCCTGCCAGATGCAGAGACTCTTTCCCTATAAAATCATGAACCCAAATTAAGTTCTTTTATAAGCTGCTTTGGTAATGCAACAAAAAAAGCAACAAAGATGGTTTAGTATTTAATTTTGCAATATCCACCAATCAAAAGTAGATATACTCTGCCCAGACACATCCTATGCAAATTAGCATTATCATTCATATTCACAAGTACTTTTATATAAAACTACAATTCCCATTCTCTCAATCTATATTCATGTTCTGAGACTACGTTCTCCAGAATGGAATACCTTCCTTCCCTATTTACGAAATGTGGAGATAACAAATTAAGCCTGCCTGGGGGTCGGAGAATGGAGCTTGCCAAGAGCTAACCATAGAGGTCTGGAAGTCTGTACAGATAGGAAGTGAAGTAGCTGGGAAGAAACAGGATTTAAGCAAGGAGATACAAGAAAATGATCTCTTGTCTGCTGAGATGCTAAGGATGTACTGAGGCTTGCTCCTTCTCTAATCTCTCAGCATTTCCTTCTATATCTGACTCTGGCTTTTTATTATCTAGACCAATTTACATTTACATTTTGGCGCCCAACATGGGGCAAGAATTTCCACGTAAAACCTGGCAAAAGTTTAAAAAGGGATTCTAAAAACAAAAGAATAGAGGCTTCTCAGTAGCAGCATTTTTGCGAGTGGTCTCTGTTTGCTAGAGACAGAGTTTCCTGGTTCCTTTAAGAGAGGCTTCCTGACTCAGTGTTAGCAGCAAAAACACAGCTCTTTTAAGAGACCATACTACCAAACAATTAAATGATTCATAGAAGAGTCTGCCAGACATTCTGCAGGACACAGAGAAAAATGACTGACAAAACTGCCAATACAGGTGGACAGTTAGAAATTTCCTGCTTCACTGAGAAGTCTTCCAGATACACTGACCTATGGGCCGAAGATGATGGACGCTCCAACATTACAGAGGAACTTTGGATGACTGTCCAGGCAGAGAGATGTCTCTGTCAAAACCAGAGTTTATATATTATCCTTCTTAGGTCTTTGATGGAGTTGAAGACAGATAATTATGGTTATGGTTTTCCTTAGTTATGATAAAAGGTAAGTTATACAAAACTTTAGACTCACAAAGATAGCATAAATGATAAAATAATTTCTTTACATTTTGCCAAATGTTAGTAGACTAAATATTGTGAACTATAGTTCTTGCTTGATAACTGTTATATATAGTTTTACTATGTTAAAGTTAAAACTTTTTTATTTAGACAGAAAAGAGGAGATGATGGGAGATGTTCTTCTGTATATATGTTCCTCTTATTGGTTGATGAGTAAAACACTGACTGACCAATAGCCAAGCAGGAAGTATAGGCAGGGCTCCAGATGAGAGAAGAGAGAAGCCATGTAACCCATAAAAGAGTAGTAACATGCTAGAGTAACATGCTAGAGTAACATGCTAAAGCAACATGCTAGAGCAACATGCTAAAGTAATATACTAGAGCAATACAGGTAAGTCACAGCCTCATGCCAATACATAGTTTAATAGAATGGGTTAATAATTAAGAGAGAGCCAATAAGAAGCCCCAGCCACCAGCAAAACAGTTTCTAAATAATATAAGTATGTGGGTGTGTTTATTTGGGCTAAATGTCTGCGGGACCAGGCAGGACCAGATGGAAAAGAGACCTCCATCTACAATGAAAACTACTTTTAAGTTGCCAAGGCTCTTAAAGGGCCACCCATCCTCCTAATTTCCACTTGGAAGTACTATCCTTTCTGCTAAACAGAGTAAGGAAACTGACATGGGTATCACATTCACAGTAAAAGATGAACAGGTATTCAACCTCTAGTGACTTTATTTTGTTTTGTTTATTGTTGTTTGAGAAAGTATCACTATGTAGATGTGGCTGTCCTAGAATTCAGACATTCCTCCAACCTCTGCCTCTCAAATGCTCAACAGGATTAAAGACTTGTGCTACCACACCTGGCTCTGGTGTCTATCCTTTAAACTCTCCATAAAGTCAGCCAGATTCCACACATTCTCTCACAATAGAATGAAGTATTAACATCTGTTTGAATCTCTCTCCTCTTAACCAGCTGTTAAGAACAGTGAGAGTGACTGACTCCATCCCATGTCTTCATCAACATTCAACAATGCCTATTACACAGTGATCTGCAAGTGTTATAATAATGAGAACTGGAGTCAGTTTATAGATTTGCAACATTGTTGTCTCTTTATAGCAAGTCTAAGTCGGTTTTACTGTAGTAGTAAAGCATGACGGATTGAAATGTAGTCCTTGTAATCAAATTGGTTATAAGAGAACCCATCAACTAATTACCATTGAAATCTTGAACCATTAGCTAAGTGCATTGAATGAGATAATACATAAATAATCCAAATACTTTCTGATCATTTTTCAACATATTATCATAAATTCTCTTAGTGAAGCCATTTGCATTACAAATTACTTACAATTATACATAAAACGGAGTAGCCAAAAGGTGTCCACTTAAAAATTGTTCAAGTCATTTTTATTTTTAGGATAAACTGTCTGGTGCCAACTTGGCCTTTACCGTATTTACTCTTGCAGGCTGACTACGCAGGAGTGCCCACGGTGATAGTTGCGCCTGAAGTCCTTCCATTTTCAAGCTCTACTACAGTTCGATGAAAATCAGAACCTTCCCACCTAACACCTAGACTGGCACAATCTAATGCATTCAACAGCTTCCCTATGCAGGAGGCTGACTACTTCCAAGAGAAAAACAATGTATTGGAATCACCTTGTTTTGTGGTCACAAACATAGCTCAGTCTAACTTGAACACCCGTAGTATTTCTTTCCTCTGGAGTCTGAGCCCTAAAACTCATAGGAATACATATGTCTTTCTTTTTAGTCTACAACCTGTATGTCAAACCGAAGTTAGGTCTTGAACTATGAACTAAAGTGCTTGTGGAGGTTCAGTTTTGGAAAAAAGAATTTACAAAAGTACTTAGCAAAATCCAGTCTACGTTTATAATCAAAGACTCAGAAGAAGGGGAAAAGGCAAGAACCATTAGAAATGTTTAATGAAAGCAATAAAACATTACAAAAGTATTACACGTAAACTAACATTAAAGTAAGCAACATCTACCATTGACAAAACAATTGTGAACTGCATAACCTAAATTCAGAAGTACCTAAGTATGTAAAACCCATAGGGAGATTAATTGCCCAGATTCCACTTTCCCGGCACACATTAATACCGTTCTTCGGTTTTGTCAGGATAAAAATAAAACGCTTAGTAAAATGATCCCCGAAGTTAATAGGACGGCGGTGAGTGGGAAAGCATAAGAACAATAACAGAACGATGGCTGTCAACACGAGGCAGAAACAAGGTGAGCATGCCTAAGAATCACAGCATTGTTTGTTTGCAGACCTGAAATAGCTTGCAAGGCCCGTGCACAGAACTCGGGCAGCCGCCCCTCCGCAGTCACTGTGAGAACCGCAACTCCAGCATGCCAGCACCGGGCTGCGGGAGCAGCAGCTGCCCTTGGGCGCGTGCAGCGCCAGCAGCACGCAGGGCGACCGCTCCGCGAGCCCGCGCCTCCAGCCGCTAGCGGACCTCGCGCGGGCCCGGGCAGGCCACCCGCCGCCCCCACACGCCCTCTGGGGACCGCGCGACCCCACGCCGGCGGAGCACAGAGGCACGGGCGCCCACACCGAGCCGAGCTTCGGGCCGCAGCCTCCGCGCCCCAGAGGTGGGAGGGGGCCGCGATCGAGCGGGGCCGCAGGTGCTGTGGCGGGAGCCCCGCGCCGACCCCAGAGCCCCGGATCCCCGGAGCCTGCGCCCCTGCCGCCCGCCGCCTGCTCCGCACAGCCCGGGATCCTCCACATGGCCCGCCGAGAGGGAGCCCTGGCGCTTACCGTGGCCGCCCGCGCCGCTAGGAAGCGGCTAGGAGACGCGCAGAGGCTCCGAGGATAGCGCCGCCGCCAGAGCCAAGAGCTACAGCCCCGCCGCCGGCGGCGCGCTACCTCCACCCTCCGGCACCCGCCTGCGCTCCGCCCCTCGGCCTCCGCCCCCCGCCCCCGGGCCGCCCCGCCCCTCGGCTCGCCACGGAGTCTGCGCCGCAGTCGGCAGGTCGCGGGCCGAGCGAGCGGGGCGGGGCTCGAGGCGGAGAGAGCGCGGGCCGACGCTGGGCTTGAGCCTAGACTGACTTTTCTCCCAACCTATGGGACTAAGAGGCGGGCTCAGTGGAAGGTTGTCAGTTACTGGCGGCCAAGTGGACCAATAACCGGGGAGAAGGGGCCTATGACCGCGGGCCAGCGTCCGCTCCTTTCTACGGGATAGGCCGAGGGCGGCGGGGACGGCCCGGATGTGGGCGGGGCCCTGGTTTGTGGAAGGCCTGAGCTAGGCGGTTTAGAGAGACGGAACTGTACCTTCTCTTTAATTATCCATGTGAGGGCCTATAAATTTGATGGGGGGAAAAGGGCGTAAGAGAAGTAGGATCCAAACTGGCGGAGTTCCTGACCTTCGCTGTCCTCTCGGTTCTCCGCCAGCCGCGCCTCCAGGTGAGTCGAGAGCTCGGCCCTTGCCCGCTCGGTACTGTTGCTGCCTCCGAGTGCTTGGGTGACCCTCGCCCCATCACGCTGCAGCCACGCGGGGCATGGCGACGAGGTACATCATGCAAAAACCGCATTAAATTCCAACGCAGGTGAATAAGAACAGCCCGGCGAAGCCACCGTGGGCATTTGTGTACGAGAGACCGGGGTGCTTTAGCAGCATCCTTAGGTTCCAGGGCAGATAAGCCCAAAAGTCAGCCGAGTTGTAAGCAGAGAGGCCACTGATTTTTGTAGCGGAAATTGTGAGCTTATTGAACAGGGCTGTCTGGGTACGGAGAGTTCATTTAGAAGAGTATTGACAGTAGCGGGAGAAGGGAAATGGAATGGTGTGGGAAGAACCTTGGACCAATCACTAGATGCAGGTGTTAGGGTAAGAGCCTAACATGTAGGAAAAAACTCAGGTTTCGACAATGGATCCGGAATCATATGAACAAAAAACAAAAACTACCTTTGTACTAGAAACAACCACCTTAAGTGGGAAATATCTGTTGAGAGAATTGTAGTCTTGGAGTGCACCGTTGACCGTCCCTTAGAAAGTGGTGGTAAAAACCAAATAAATCCTATTAACCGATTAAGATGATTTTGTAAATTGGAATCTTGTGTCACCATTGTAGTTCAGCCCATTCAGTCCTTTAAGAATCAGTTAGATATCAGTTAGGCAGTTTTCCCTTGTTGAGATTATTTTCCTGCAATGGAGTTTTGTTTCCATACACAATTAGAAATGTATAATCTCAGTAAGCTTAGGCCTTTGCATACTTTGACCTCTTATCTACAATGCCTATGGTCATTTCAGACAGTTTGGTACTTGTTCTGGAGGAGGAGGAAAAAGAAAAATAAAGTTCATATCCTGTGGCATACAGAAAAGTTATGTTTAAGGGATCTCAAATCTTCATAAAGGTTCTTAAAATTGACCAAATCAGAGGTTGGGACTGAGCAAACATTAAAAACATATATAGTTAATTAAGCAGCCTGCACACATCTCCACCTCAGCTTCAAAATAATCTCATTTTACTATACAAAGCTTCAATCAAGGAAAAACCAGTAAAGAAGATTGCTTTCCAAGACTGAGCCCAGTATGATCAGTTCTTTACACCCAATGCCTTTAAACCCTAGCGGAGTCAAAGTTGGGTAGCTCTTTCATTCAAGGACAGCCTTGTCTGTATTACCAGAGTTCTAGGCAAGCCAAAGTTACATACTGTCTCAAAAAAAAAAAAAAAAAAAGGCCTCCCTAAAAGCCAAAATACTGCAGTCCCGAGCATGGGTCTGAGAAGAAAGGCACTAGGACATCCACATCTACTGAACTACAAGCGGTGTGTGCTTTCCCCAAGATGCTGTCCTAGAGATGTGCAGAGTTGTCGGTACAGTTGGTCTGGGGCAATTGCTCTAGCTCTTCTGTGTCTCCTTGTGTCTTCTCTAGCACCCAGGCCCTCTGTTTACCTCTGCAGTGTCTTCCCAACTAGTCTGTGTTCATTTTCAAAGGGTCATTTGCCAGTGATTTATTTTCCCCTGGATTTTATCATGAAGTCTGCTTTCCTAAATATTTCTTCTTGGGCTGGCAAGCAGGTAAATATATCTGCCACCAAGGCTGATGACTGAGTTCAGTCTCCAGGACCTAGAGTGGAAAGAGAGAACTAAGTATTTCTATACAATCTCATGTCCTGTATCCCATTTTCCTCTCTACATAGCTAAAGGAATAGTGTTTCTCGGCTGTTCCATTTCCTTTCTCCCATTAACTCCTTACTCAGCTGAATGTAGTTTAGCTTCTGATTTCCCATTGTATCTACCCTTCATCTTAATGGTCTGTAAATTTAAGCATGAAATTTAGATATAATACATTATTTATACCTTAAGCTAAGATATAAGTTAATGCAGTCCCAATTGAAAATGGAAGTTTTTTAAAAATTCATTTAGTGATATTAGCATTAAAAAAAAATAAGGAGAAATTGAAAATATTCTGGCAGTGAGTGGGTACTAGGCCTTCCAGATTTAAGGATACATCCTAGAGTAACAGTAAGTCTTAAATTGTGAACCAAAGTAAGGGTTGTGGAAAATGGAGACAAGGCTCAGTAATTTAAAATGCTTGCTGCTCTTCCAGAGGACACAAGTTCAATTCCCTCCCAGTAGCCACATTAGGTGGTTCAGGACCACCTGTAACTCTAGCACCAGGGGTGGCAGCTCATGTTCACATTCAGAAAGAACCTTAGATTTTACGTTTTCCTCTTCTCCGTGGACACTTGTACAATTGGCACACACATGCAGACATATATACATATGAAAATTTTTAAAATGAGTATTTTAGAATAGATTTAGAGAGAATAGTGATATAAAAGCCCTTTGTCATAGAATGATTAAACATTGATGACAAAGCACATAATTTTTTAAGTGGACTGCTTTAACAATAAAATAATTGAAAATATGAGAAGCAATACCTTTTGTGTTACTTAGCCCATTGGCAACTTTGCAGTCCTGGTGTTCTCACCTTTATGCCAGCCCTTCCATCATTACAAACTCATTTCCTCTCTCAATGCTTTGACCTTGGGTGCTTTCTTTCAGCACCTCTTGCATTAAATGAAAAACTAGGTTTGCAAGTGTGCAGAGAGGTTAAGACATGGGTGAGGTGCAGATGAAAGTCGTGACTTGGATCAAGTGATAGCATTGAGAAGGAACCAATTGCTGTTAAATAAAGTTTATGCTCAGTGTCTATACTAAAAATCTTAATGCTGCAGTGATGGGCTGTAAGAAAAGGTGGCAATGGCTGGGAAGATGGCTTCACAGCTAAGAACAAAGATTGCCCCTACAGAGGACTAGAGGCTGGTTCCCCACACGCACTGATGGGAGGCTCACACTTGCTGGGGTCTGTAGCTCCAGGGGTGTCTGCCAGCCTCTGAGGGCACCTGCACTTGCATGCATATACCCACACATACACACAATTCAAAATAGAATTTACACATATACATATATTCATCTCATAATTCAAAATAGAATATTAATGTTATACATATATTTATACACACATGCATGCAGAAATGGTTGTTGAGATTTCTACAAGTGGTTTTGAGTGCTAGACTGTTTTCCAAATTAGAAAGTCTGAGAAGTGGGAAGCAGCCAGCTTTCCTAGGAATAGAAGTGATTTCTGCTATCAGATCCTGGCCGTTTTTCTTTTCTAGGGTGTGCCTCCCTTATTTCAGCCCTAAAGTGGCCTCTGAAAGTGTTTAAATGAGAATGTCCTTGGCTCAGAGAGTGCTGCTCACCTGGCTTTTCACACTGCTCTTCCTCATCATGTTGGTGTTGAAACTGGACGAGAAGGCACCTTGGAATTGGTTCCTCATATTTATTCCAGTCTGGATATTTGACACTATCTTGCTCGTCATGCTGATTGTGAAAATGGCTGGACGATGTAAGTCTGGCTTTGACCCCCGACATGGATCACACAATATTAAAAAGAAAGCCTGGTACCTCATTGCAATGTTACTAAAGTTAGCCTTCTGCCTCGCACTGTGTGCTAAGCTGGAACAGTTTACTACCATGAACCTTTCCTATGTCTTCATTCCCTTATGGGCCTTACTGGTTGGAGCTTTAACAGAACTTGGATATAATGTCTTTTTTGTGAGAGACTGACTTCCGAGGATATTGTCTCTTTTCTGTTGCTGTTCAACAATGTTCATACAGTGTTCCGAATCTTTGCAAGTTTCAAGAATACTAGAGATGTGACTGAAAGTACCAAGTGTAGTCTTAAACTACCATAAAACAGGACTGGTAAGGCATGAACTTGTGGCCAACCCAAAGCTTGATTATTCAATATTTGAGTTCTTGATCTCCTATCCCTGTGTAATAAAGCTTGTTTCTGAACTGATTTTTCCATGTGCCTCTTACCTTGTATGTTCAGGACTTGAAGTAAATGCAAAGCCCTTAGTTATATAACTGTAAATTAACTGGATAGTGGCTATGTATAAAAGTAAATATGTATGCTTCTAAATTATGAAGGAAAAAACTTGGTTATGAAAATATTTTAGGGCTGCAACCTCATGTCTGACTGAGAAAGAATCTTACTGTGACACTTTTAAATGGGTTATGCTTACTTTGAGCCTTTCCTACTGCTTAGAATGAGTGAATTGCCTGTTAGTTAAAGTTAAGGGAACCTACTTCCCCATTCTGTCAGGAATCAGCTGTGCCTATTTGTCCTGGAGTCTCAAACATAGTGCTCTGTGAATATGAATATGAATATTCACTCAAAGTGTTCAGGTTTGAGAAACTCTGTGGCTACCATAACAGCATACTTAACCAATGCCAGTAAAATCCAGGAAGCAGTATTTCTGAAAAGTTTAGCAGTGAAGCATTTCAAAACCTGAAAGTAAAACTTGTTATTTTTTGTGAATGTTTGCATGAGTTCATGCGTACTTTGTGTATCCAGCAGCCCAAAGAGAAGACAAGATCCCCCAGAACTGGAGTTGCAGATGGTTTTAAGGCCATCTGGGTGCTAGGGGTCAAACCCTGACCCTCTCTCTGTAAGTACTCAGAACTGCTTAACTTACAAGTACTTTTAAGATTATTTTTAGAATTAAATTTTAATTGTGTGTGTTTATGTGGGTACAGGTAAATGCAGGTGCTTGCAAAAGCCAGTGTACGTGCGTGTGTGCGTGTGTGCGTGTGTGCGTGTGTGCGTGTGTGTGTGTGTGTGTGTGTGTAGGTAAGTAGGTAGGTAGGTAAACCCAGGTGCTTGCAGAAGCCTGAGATGTCAAAACTGCCTGCAGCTGCAGATGCTTGACTTGAGCACTGGGATCCAACTCAGTCCTCTGCAAACGCACTGTGAGCTCCTAACTACTCAGCCTTCTCTCTAGCCCTCAAGAGATTGATTTTATCCTATGTAGCTTTGACTTTTAGCTCTGTCACAAATCTAAAGTGGCCATTTTTGATATTTTTAAAGGATTTACCACAGACTCAGAGTGTAATGGTGCATCCTATAATACCAACACTATGGGAGAAGCAGAATTTTGAGTTTGAGGCCAGCCTGGCTACAGAGGCCATCTCAAGTCTTAAAGCACAGATCATTATTTTCTCATTGTCAATACGGAAATTTGTGTAGGTGGATAGTGTATGCACGTATGTGTACAGAAACCAGAGGTCAACACCTGCTGGTCTCCTGAACTGCTGTCCACCAGTTTCTGAGGAAGGGTCTTTTACCAAACATGGGCTAGCCAGTAAGTCCCCTGCATCCAGAACCTACTTGTATCCAGACTTGGTTCCTCACACTTAAGCAGCAGGCATTCAATCCACTGAGCCATCTTCCAAGATCCCCAAAGATTATTTTAATACATTCCTTCCTTGTAAATAAAGATAACAAAGCAGCCACATACCACAAAGCTTACATTACATTAGGCTTTTGAGACTAAAGAACTAAGCAAGTTTAAAAAAAAAAAAAAAAAATCTAGTTGCAAGTATCTTCCTCTTGTTTAACTGGCCATGTGGTGTTATTTTTAAGAATCTAAAAATAGGAGTCATAAAAACAGTATTTGGAAGTGAAGATTCCAGGCTTGATCAGACAGAGATCCAAACTGGTCTCTGGAATATATCATTAACTCAAATGAAGTTCTCATTGTAATAAATAAGCTGAAGGATCACAGGTCAGATAAAATTGTTGGAGCAATTGCCTTTTTTTCTTTCCTAGACAGGCTTTCTCTATGTAGGCCTGTGTGTCATGGAGCTAACTGTGTAGGCCAGGCTGGCCTTGAACTCACAGAAATCTGATGGGAGATGTCATGCCTGCCTCTGCCTCTGCCTCACCACCACCTGTCTTCAAGCAACTGTCTTAACTATAAGCTTTTCTAGGGAAAATGTGTAATAGGTCTTTCTTCCCATAACTTTAACCAGGAAGTTAAAGAAATGAGTAAGAATTACATGCAGAGAGCAACACAATAACCAAGTTACTTACACATGAGGGTAAAGTAACTTTTACTGGGCTCTGACAGGTTCTCAATGCGGAAACTTTCTCTTATGTGCTACCTAGGACAGCACAGTAAATGACTGGTGTACGCCTTAATAACAAACAGTACATTTTGCATTGGTGGCACACGCCTTTAATCCCAGCACTTTGGAGGCAAAAGCAGGTGGATCTCTGTGAGTTCGAGACCAGCCTGGTCTACAAGAGCTAGTTCCAGGACAGTCTCCAAAGCCACAGAGGAAAAAAAAAAAGTACATCTCAACATTAAGTCATGACAAGCATTAAAAAGAAAATGCAGCTAGGCAGCTATGGCACATGCCTTTAATCCTGACTCAGGAGACTGAGGCAGGCAGATCTCTGTGAGTTTGAGGTCAGCCTGGTCTACGGATCGAGTTCGAGGACAGCCAGGTCTGTTGTACAGAGAAACCCTGTCTCGAAAAGATGGGAAAAAGTAGTAGTATTACAGGGGGAAAAAAATGCCTTTTTGGGTTCCTTTTATAAGATGCATAAACACTGCCTCATGTACCAAACATTAGAAGTTATAATAGATGAATAGCTTATGGGTGGCACTTTTTTAGTTTGAGCAAAAGGTATAATTTCTGTGTAAAAACAATTTTTGAGCAAACATCTTCATGAAATATAAGTCATGATCTGTTAACATCTCTTTCCCCCAGCTAGCTTTGTGAAACAAGAACAACCCACCAATGGAGAGTTCTCAAATACCAAGATCTGTCTGACCTGTAGCACACATGTATGTCTCAAGACAGCTATGAACATATTCTAACACGTTTATAGGTTACAAGATCAGAGTGTCAGAAGGTTGACGCCATGAAAAAAGTGTATTGTTCTTGTAAGTTTACTAGCCTTACAAATTTGGCCTGTTTTCCACTTCATTATTTTACAATTCAGCAGATAAGTAAACTTAAAGTTAGCTAATAAACAGCTGAGAAGGAAAGGACAATAGATAATCACCTTCATCCACAGACAGGCAGGCACATCCCTAAGCACAGAAAAACTTGAGTGTGAAATGGTCAATTCTTGTAGCATTTACAAACTATCAAAAGAATTCAATGATTTCCTGTTCACAGAATAAGCACAAAACTACAGTGACTACGAGGGTAGGAGAGAGAGGAACACCAACTCATAATGGTAAAACTAAAAGTAAGGCAAACATTGGATATGTTCTCTCATGAATAGGGGTCTAACTCTGAACAGTGTAGAAGGGTAAAAATTACAAATGAATAGAAAATGCTCCCCATCAAAGATCACACTTTCTCATGTTTAATCTCATTTTGCTTGCTCTGTGTTTGTTAGTCATATTTCCTCTCTTAAGGCAGTTTTCTGCCACTGTCTACCATCATATGTAATCAAGTTCGTTCTCAGTAGGCAATCTGTGACATGACGTTTTAAATGTCTACTTACTGCCACACCTTTACCTCCTCAATGGAGAAGCAAGCAAAACGGAAATAGTGTGAAAGGATTACCATGGCCCAGAACACTAATGGTGCGTCTAAAACAAGCCAAGCAATGTGCTAAGCATTTGTCATGTTCTGCTGTTCACCTAACAGGTGAATCAACCTAACAGGTATTATCTCCCTGTGCAGTAAAGAATACAAACGTATAGGAAACCATTTTCTCAGAGTTATATACAGCTGTTTCTTTTAACACACCTGCATTAAACCACAGCTATAGTCCTACAAATGTTACTAATACCTCAGTGAAGTAGCTTTACATGACTGACTGAAAATGCTTCACTTTTATGTTCTTGCACCACTCCTAAAACAGAATGGATATCAGCAAAAAAGAAAAATCGTGCAGTTGTCATCATTCAATATTTCTGTTGTTAATACTATCAGCAGGGAAGAATTATCAAAGTATAAGCAGAATGATTAAAACTAGTTCAATTCTACCTCAGATTACATTTAAGTGCTGTTAATATGATTGCCATTTTAATCATTTGAGGCAGTTAAGAATCTAATCCTTCCACATGGTGGCAGTGCACCATTTTTAATCCCAGCACTCAGGAGGCAGATAGGTGGGTCTCTTGAGTTCAAGGCCAGCCTGGCTAACAGAGGGCGTTTCAGGACAGCCAGGGCTCCACAGAGAAATCCTGTCCTGGGGTGAGAAGCAGATCTAACCCCAGCATGTGTGTCAGGGGTGGGGGAGGGCCTTAATTTGAATAACTTTCAGTATCTTCAAAAAAACTAGCTAAAAAAATGAATTTCTCAAGTTTGTCTAATACATTAACTCCTCACTTCTAACTGGGGTCCTACATAGCTACAATACAAAGCACAAACTTGATTTCTCCACAGCACTTGCTTATCTAACTTTCTCTACTCTTCTGTTGAAATCCGGGAATCATATTGATATGCAGGAACTGAGTTTTTATATCACAGAAGCCTACATCATCTATTCTTCTGTCTCCTCAAACATTTATTGAGATGGCAGGTATGAGAGGAGAAACTTAATGACTTTTTGTTTGTGGATAAGCAAGAGCCCAACACAACCATTACTGAGTATGTCAGAGCTGTACTATCAAAGGGCACAAGGAAGTGTTACACAGACTTCTGACATCAGTAAAGGTAGTACAGAGGTGGCACTCTAGAGAAACAACAAAATGTCACTGTGTAATTATGTTCTGGGTAAAGGGCATGGCAAGTACAGTCAGCTCTCCATAGCCATAAGAGTTCCTTGCCCACAGATCCAACCAACTCTAGACTGAAAATAAATGGGGAAAAAAAATTGCATCTGCACTGAACATACATTATCCCTGAAAAATACTTTACTCAGCATTTACCTTATATTAGGCATTTATTATAAATAACCTAGAAATTGTTTATACAGTATATACAGAAGTTATAGACAAGTATTCATATAGGATAACATAACATCTAAAGATCTGGGTATGCAAAACCAGTCTCAAAACCAATTCCCCAGGGATGCTTTGAGATGACTGGACACCATCATTTGGTGAGGCCAAAAAGTGACCTCATTGTAATATATGATGCTGGGTAGAAATAACTGTATCATAAAGGCTCTTACTAAATATGGCCTTTACCTTAAGAAAAGGAACCACCGTGGAACATTTCCAAACAGAATAAAAATCCTAACTATTAATCTGGGGCAAAACAGAATGGACTGGGATTATGAAATAAGGAGGACTGCACACCCTAGAACATATTAGACTATTTGAAGAGTCCAGGTGAAATGTTCATCCTCTATGACTATCACACTATATAAACTGAAAACACTTCTGCAGGCATCTCATTGGCACAGGAAAAAAGAAAAATTGATTTCCTGAGAGGTGACAATGTAGATAGATGCCAATGACCAAACAAGGGGGTAAAGGGGAAGCTAATGCCTGAGGGTTAACAAGGGAGCACAAACTAGTTCTAATCATATGATAATTAAAACATAAGTGAAAAACCAGGCTAACTGAAAATTCTGCAGTCAGGAAGATAACTTGGAGAATTGAGCTTGGAGAAGAATTGAGTTTGGAGACTAAAGGAAAGACTATAGTGACAACATTACTTAAAGAGGCAGGGAAGCAGAAAAACCATTCCAAACACTGAAAACCTACCAATACCAAACACAAAAAAAAAAAAAAAAAAAAAAAAAAAGGAGGGAGGAAGGGAGAAGGAAGAAAGTGCTAAGTATTACAGGATTAAACAAAAGTACGGAGAATCTCATGGATGGATCTGGCAATAAACTGCTTTGAAAACACTATTTCTGCTGGGGGACTAAGAGTAAAGATTAAAGAAAAATGTACAGTGAAATAAGGAAAGATGAGGAAATAAAGGCACAGATTCCAAGAATTTCACTGAAGAGAATGAGAATTAACAAAAGTCCAACTCAAGAAAAAGAATGTCTCTGAAGACAGCAAAGGTGTTTCACAGAATAATGTGGCTCAGTTAAGTACAATTTCAACAAGAAAATTCTGTGAAGATAGACAAAACTATCCAAATTAATTTTGGAATCACAGTTCTTGTATTTTCACAATAATGGCAGGCAAATCACAGTGAAGAAACACACAAGTGGGCTGGGGAGATGGCTCAGTGGTTAAGAGCAATGGTTGCTCTTCCAGAGGACTTGGCTGGGTTCAGTTCTTACATGGCAGTGTATAACTGGCTGTAACCCCTTGAGGGGGTGGGGGGGATCAGATGACCCTTTCACAGGTGTCATCTAAGACCATCAAAAAACACAGATTTTACATGATTTACAGTAGTAGAAAAATTATATTTGTGAAGTAGCAATGAAAATAATTTTATGGTTGGAGTCACAACAACATAAGGAACTAATAGGTCGTAGCATTTAGGAAAGTTAAGAACCCAATGCCCTCTTCTGGTCTCCATGGTCACTACACATAAGAATGGCATAGATAACACATGCAGGCAAAAGACCTAAAATAAAGATAGTGTTTTAAAAAACAACAAAACAACAACAAAAAAATACCTTTTGCTTTTAATTTATATTTCTCTTAGATCATTCACATACCCACATTTAGTTGGGTATGACTTCAGGATGAACTAGAAAGGGAAGATACCTGAAATGCAAAACTACTTTCTTCTACTTCCATACTCTTTCAAAAATCAGCATATACATCTCTTAACTTAATCTCTTACGGCTCATAAAGGCCAAAGTATCTCTCTCAGGCTCTGTGTCTTACACTCTGTATCTCCATCTGCAGCACACAACGATCTATAGGAACTAAACAGCACGTCTAGGAAAAGTTGGGTATGATGGCACTGACCTATAATCCAGTTCCCTAGCCCAGACTACAATCTGAAAGAGTATCTGAGAGTTGGGACTGTAGCTCTGGGTACACTAATCCACCAGTTCAATGTGCAGTGCTCCTAGAGACTTAACAAAGAGGAGCAGGCCAGCCAGCAAAAGCCCAGCCTCAAAGCTCTGCAGCCTGCCACTATCTGAAGTCAGCCCTCAAGAGCCAGGTTAAGCATCGTTTTTTCATTAAATAAGCAATGCATTTTAAAAGCCAGTTAAGTTGTTTACATACCAAAGTACTTATAATTGGGTTGTAGAAAGAACAGATTTCCCACCACTCTGATAAGTATATAAGTTCACCATTGCTTCTTAGTAGCCTAAAAATACTTTGAGAAAAACGGTACTTCCATCCCCTTCCTGAAATGGAGATAATCTGGTCAAGAAGAGACTTAACTGTGCACCCCAGAACCCACACCTAACTGAAGATATGAAATGACCTCAATGTTTCCTCTATTGATGCAGTGTATATTTATTATGGGCCTTTAGGTGGATTAAGGAGACTTTCAGATTAGAATCACCTTCAGGATTTTACAATCTGAACACAGAAATAGGAACTTTTACAGAGTCTGAGACTAAAAAATAACGTCAATTTTAAGAAAATAATTACAAAACAAAGGTAAGAAGATTGTGGTTATCAATCTTAGTATTTATTGAAAGGTGGAAGACAAAGAAAACAGTCTCTCAAATGCCAAAACAAATCTGTACCTTGGCTAATGTAAATAATTGCTTTACATATCAATAAACTGTCCCTCTTTACCCCCCAAAAACTGAAAGTTTACTAAACAATGCTATTTACAAAAAAAAAAAAAAAAAAAAAAACCCTTACCTGACATAAAACTGAATTTAGGAAAAAAAAAATCTTATTTTGAGTACATTAATAAATTTATTAAACATTTAACCTAAGAAAATCTTTCCTCAATTTTCTACCCCTGCCACTTTGGAAACAAACATATTTCAAACAAGTTTACCCAGAAATGCACACATACATACAATACACAGTGTTGTGCTAAACCAACCTGATCATTAAGGTCAACAGTCCTGTCATAAGGAAGATAGATAATCAACATATGGCTTTATGTAAATCTGCAACTAAATATCAAAAATGTTTAATTCTTTTGATAGCTAACCTGAGTATGGGATATATACTACTTAGCTAAGAAGATATAAATAAAATGAAAAAAAAAAAAGGGGGGGGAGTGTGTGTGTGTGTGTGTGTGTGTGTGTGTGTGTGTGTGTGTGTGTGCAGGTGCAGCAAATACCACTGAGGTACCTACATTTTTATGTGACGGTCTTTACATCACTTCACATATAACAATCACTCTGTATAATATATGACCTTATTAAAACTTTATCTTTAGTGCTTTATTGTTCTGGTACAAGACACTGGGGGAAAAAAAATCTTATATTCACATGGAGAATGGGAGTGTACTAACTAAAAAAACCATTAACATGCAGTATTAAAATAGGTATTTGTGTGTAACAAAGGTAGTCAACAAGTTCTCAGATGGCATCTGAGGAGGATTTTTAAAAATAACCCGTAAGAGCAGGGCCATAAATGTAATTCAAGTCTGTAAGGCTTTATCTTGAGCTCTTGACCCTGTCGGTTATGCATGCTTCACCTTCACAGAGACGTATGCATTTGACAAATCAATTACAGCTTTGAATTGGGGATGACTGACTGCGGGTTACAAAAGAAACTACACCTAGAAGCAACAACTATGTCTTCTTTTAAGCTAAGACTGTAAGGAATAGCATTTTCTAACAGTATGACCTCAGTGTATCTTATATATGACTGGAAATAAAAATACTGTGTTAATATATCAACGTCAATTTAAAAACCAAATTTTAACCATATACCCTCCTATTTCTTAATACACATTTATTAAGAACTTTTGTTCCCAGAAAGATGGTAAAGAACCCTAAATTTAGCTTAAAGTGGCTTAAGTTCAGTGAAAGATAGCTAATAGCATATAAAACAAAACCCCTATTTACACTGTCATGATTTTTAACTTCTCTATTCCATGAAACATCCCCCACTACAAACACACTGAGTTCCTACAAGCCACCAAGATATTCTATTTTATTTGCCTATCTTAAGTCAGGAGACTTCTCACTGTTACTGATTTTTGTCAGGTCTGGTGAAAAATATTTTTCTAAGTGGATTCTCACCACTTAGAAGCATGAGGGCTTAACAAAAATGAGGTGAAAACAGAACCCACTGAATGAAAATAAATGTCTACCAAAAGGCAGCATAGGGAAAGCAAACAGAGTCACCAATCAAGATAGGGGCCCAGGATACTACAATAAACAAAATGTTTGCAATGATTCAGCTCCTTCCCTGCGTACACACATCGAATACTTAACTTTTAATTCCAGAAGTGGACAAAGACTGAAACTGTACTAAGCCCATGGGTGCAGATTTCTTTCACCTTGCAGGCATTGGCCATCCTGTTTCCTAGATGAACTCCCTAGAGCATCTTTAGGAGTACTACACCTGACATTTGCCTTGCAGGCTGGAGAAGCATCCTGAGAAAGATGAGCTGACAATGTTTTGTTAGTCACATCTGCATATGGCAGCTGGATCACTGTCATTGCCCCTATTTTAAAATTTTCTTTTTGTAATATGGAAAAATGAAAAAGAAAACTTTTAATTACTCATAATTAAACTTTCTGCATGTTAATTTTTAATCAGCTATTATTAAACATACAGGTGTTTATTGGTAAGAAAATTTTCTAAACTTATTACACAACAAAGAAAGTTACACTAGGGCTAAAGAATCTGACCACATAACTTCATTAATTAGAAGGATAAAAACCATCAACATATTTAGTTCTTCCAATTTCTAAAACTATAATTTTCTTAATGTTGAACATAAATATTTTAGGATGTATTCCAGGAAGTAGCACTAAGAATTTTCATATATTCATCAATTTAAGAAATTGTGCAAAACAATATATATATATGTATATAACACCCTCAAATACACAAACATGTGTGTATACATACACAAAATATATATGTATATGCTTTTGCAGCTGAATCCTGGTTTTTTGAAGGCTTTTACAGTATGGAAAATTTAAATATTTACTAGATTTGAGAACATACATTTTCCTTCCATTACCTCCCCACATGTATATATTAACAGAGACATAATATATCAAATAAGTAAACTGAATTGTCAGTTTGTTTCTGCAAACTCAACAGAAAGCATTTATTACCATGAACCTTTATTAAGTGGTTCACATTTCAATATAAATCACACTAAAAAGATTTTTAAAAGCTATTTACACTACAGTGCTGACATTTAAAATGAAAAAAAAAAAAGTCTGTATAAATAAGTTCTATGGAAAAAACTTAAATCATCAAAAAAGAATTCTGGCTCATATTACAAAAAATATATTTATATGATTTTGTCAGCTCCATTCTAAAGCCTACAACTCCAACTCCAACAACTATTCTAGACTCCTTTGTGTTTAACCTGCAGTGTTTACAGTGCATCTGGCCCTACATGCTTGAACTTCAGTTATGGACAGGCACTGAGGAATGTTACAAAGCTACATAAACTCTATTTTGTAACAGACTTGAGAGCAATTCCCAGGCTTGCTTTCAATTTCATGAATCATTTTTACAAATAATTTTTCAAAAGGAATTTTAAATGCAATGTACAAATTTAGTACAAATTGTCATCACCATTTTTATCTTGATTTGAATGTAAGGAATTATGTTGCCTTGTATCAACTATAGTAGTGAGACTTCCAGGACACAGTTCTTCCTTTAAGTTTTTGTTACTGTTTTCAAATTTAGAATCCATATCCACATGAAATTCTGAAAACTGAACATGATCCAACTTTGCCTTAATGTTCTTGCCTGCTGTATTATTCGGTGTTCTAGTCTTTTCGGATATATTAACTTTCACAGGTTCTTCCTTTATCCTTATAGATGGAATACGTTCATGTTTAATCTGTTGTAATTCATATTTAGAATGAAGTTTGTCTGAAAACACAGAGTCTGGTGAGGCTTGGTTCACAGCACAGATTTTGTTGTCAGTGTGAGGTCTGAGAACTGATGATGTGGGACCTGATGAGATGCATGTTTCATGACAAACTGTACTGTGACAAGTGTCCTCCTCTGCATGGTATAATTTAAGTCGAACATGCCATGCCAAACTGCATACAGCAGAAACTGTCTTGAACTGATGAACAACATTCCTTGGAATAAAATAAATGTCATTATCATACAGCTGAATCCTGGCATAGCGAATACCTTCTCTCCTCAGCTGATTAAGTTTTGCATCATCAACCCACTGGACACACTAAAAAAAGAAACGGGAATACAGGTAAGTCTTTTGCACAACAAAATCTAAATGAAAACTGGTAATTACTAAGTTTTACCTGGGACAGTGGAGGTTCATGTAAATCTAATTGCATTCGTTGAACTACTTCTAAGAAATCTTCTGCATGAAAACAAATTACATCTTTGGTTATTCGAGGTTGATCAGGCCTATAAAGGAGGAGGAAGATAATAAAGGAACCTTCCATTAATGTTTCATTCTATTAAGGCCTTAATAAATTCAAACAAAACTAGTTTATGATCAAAACCAAAATCTTCTTAAAATAAAGAAAACCACTTCATATATTTAAATCAGGAGTTTACACTATGGGTTTCAATCTGAACAGACTAACAACTTTATTCACTTTAGTATCACTGTAGTAATGATCAGTAAATTATATAAACCATAAAAACTAAACATCTCATTTTTAAAATACAGTACATTTTTTTAAATTAAGTGTTTAAATAGCAAATGCTGCATAAAAAAAAGTTGAAAGACATACACCACGCACGTGTTCTCATTTCTATGTGTAAGCTAAAAGGATCTTGGCCAAAGCACAGAATGCTGGCTGTCAGAGACTGGGAGGTAGAAGACTAGGGAATGGAGAGAGTGAGTCAAGGAAAAGTAACAGGAAATATTCTCTAGTACAAGAGGGTGACCATGGTTAACATTTAATGTATATTGCAAAACAGGCTGATGAGAAGTCTTTATTCCCACCACACAAAAATGGTGCATGGTGTGGTTTTAAGTGATATATAGAACCACTACCTTGCTCTGTTACATAGTGTATACCTGTGTTGAAATATCATATTGCATCTCATAAAAAAGAACATTTAATAACTCATTTTTATAGGCTCATGCTTATAACCTGAGCTACAGAATGATACTCTCAAAAAAAATAGAGGTGAATACTTTCTCATTCCATAGAAGATAATAACTGTTTACCTGAACACACACAATCTTAAAGGATTCTACATGCTAAGTAGGGTTGGGCCTAGTATTAGTGGTGATGCAACTCCTATGTGACTCTTGCTGTGTTTTATTTCACTGCTGTAGTTACTAGTACATATTTATTAATTTATTGTCTTAGTAACAATAAATTAAGAAATGTCCATTACAATACTCATATTCCTCACTGGAGACATAAATTGTGAAAATTTTCTAAATTCTTCATAATTTAGAAAACCTCTTTACAAAAGATGCTAAAAATAAATTTTTGGAGACAAATTCCAATCAACATAATATGTAAGGAAAATCTAACAGGGTCTAGCTTAATAAAAAAGGAAACCACAACCAAGCAATATGCAGTGGTGGAACCCTGTTCTCAATTAATACATCCACAAAAGATGATCATGGGCGGTGCTATGAGACTGTGTTTCCTGATAATGTCAAAAGCTACACCCATGAAGTCTCACCAAAAAAGACATCAACAGGCATGCAAAAGTACATGGGGGAAAGCCCATGAGGCCTCAAACCTACACAGGCAACTGAGTTAAACAGGGAGTGGGAGAGGTGATCCTCCCCTGGGAAAAGCATAAATTAATTGTTCAGTGACAGACAGCCAGCCCTGGAAACATACATATAAGAAAAATATAGATGCAACAGGTTATATTTGGGGATAGGTATGTATTTACAAATACACACACACACACACACACACACACACACACACACACACACACACACAAACAAATGATGAAAAAAGGCCATGAATTTGAAGGAGAGCAGAGAGGGATATATGGAAAGAAGAAACGGAAGAGAGAAATGTTGTAATTAAAATACAATCTCAAAAAAATTGTTTTTTAAATTATAACATAACCAAATTCCTAAGGTTCAGTGAAAGAAGATCATGGATGATACTACATACAGAAAAAGAGGGTAACCAGTCACTGGAGTGCAGACTTTTCAAAGACATTACAAACCAGAAGAAAATTAAAGTGTGGACAGAAAAACACAACTCTTTAATAATCCTGCCATCATGATGTGTTCTCCAAGTACATGCGACCAAGCAACCATGAACTAATACTTCTAAAACAGTATTTAACTCAAAATATAACAACAACAACAACAAAAAGGCCAAGCGTTGGTGGTGCACCTACCCCAGCACTCAGGAGACAGAGGCAAGCAGATCTCTGTGAGTTCAAGGCCAACCTGGTCTACAGAGCTAGTTCCAGGACTGGCTCCAAAGCTACGGAGAAACCCTGTCTCAAAAAACCAAAAACAAACAAAACAAAAAACAAAAAACCTCCCTTCTTTACACTGTTTCTCAGACATTTTTATCACAACAAAACAACAGAAGTTACCTAACACATTAACCTATAGAGACAGAAAGATTAATGGATATTTGAGGTGAGTAGTTAGCTGCAAAAATACTGAAAGTCAAAAATGTTCTACATCTTCACTGAGGTTGTAGCACAGCTAAATAAATTAGTCAAAACAAGCAACAGACTTAAAGTTGGTATATTTTACCGAATGTAAATTTTACCCCAACTTCATGAGGTACAACCATGGACTAAGGAGATGGCTCAACAGGCAAAGTACTAAAGCAAATGTGAGGAACCAGTTCAGATTCCCCAAACCCATGTAAAGCTGAGCACTGTAATCCCAGAATTCTTTGGATAAGATGGGAGTTGGGAACAAGAGATTTCCAGAAAGCTTATAGGCAGCTATCCTGGCTTACCCAGAAGCTCAACAACAACAGGTTCTGTGTCAAACGGGGGGGGGGGGGACCATCACATGTGTGTATCCACATCTGCACACATGAACAAACATGCAAACACTTGGATCTGTGCAGTCCTTAGTTATATAATCTGATTAATAATTCACACTGTCCTATTGACAGGAGACTGCAAAACAAGGCACAGCAAAGTACTGGCATCTCAGCAGTCAAGTAAGCTGAAAAATGAGGTCTGTGAGTGTGAGGTTAGCCTGGGCAACGTGGTGAGATGCTACCTCAAAAAAGTGCTGAAGCACCAGGCATGAAGTAAGCAAATCTCTGTGAGTTCAAGGCCAGCCTGGTCTACATAGTGAATTCTAAGACTATGTGGAGGCTATGTGGAGAGACCATGTCTCATAAAAATCAAAAATAAATAAAAATAAACAAAAACAAACAAACCTACCCACTAAGTTGGGGCCAGAAAGATAGCTCAGCAGTTAGAAGTACTTGCTGCTCTTCTGAGGGTCTGGATTTAGTTCCCTGCACCCACAGAAGGCAACACAGGATTGCCTGTAATACAAGTTCCTGGGCCTCATAAATCAATCTCCAATTTTTTTGTATCAAACTGGTATGCTTAATAACAAAATTATTTTTCCTGTCTTTATATTAAAAGATTACAAAACAGCAGTGAGGCTTTAAGTGGACAAGTTGTTCCGATCACTCAGGAATCTTCTGCACAGCGGCACAACAGCACTGTACACTACTTAGTATTAACTTACAAAGCAGTACTATAAGTCCCTATATGGAAATTTTACAAAACCTTAAAAGCTACAAAGTTTTAAAACTATTTCCAGAATTAAGAATGGTTTCTTTCTGGATGTCAAGGAGAGTGCAACAGGTAAGAGTGCTAGCTGTCAAGGACCTGAGTTCAGATCCTAAGACCTATGTAAGAAGCCAAGCAAAAACCCTCTGCAACTGTAACCCAATACTGTGGCAAGCAGAAACAGGAAGGAAGCAGACATCAGAGGAAAGAGTCTCAGACTTAGCACACACTAACTAAATGCCCTAAGAATGTTATTGTTTTCACAGCCCTCACATGGTAAACATGCAATACAAGCCAAAAACAGCAAAGTAAACTGAGGCATGTATAAATGGGCATACAGTAAAACCAAGTAAATCTAGTTTTCCCTTTAACCATTTTGAAAAGGAAATTATTTCACTCAACTCAGAGTCTAGCAATTTAAATATTCATTTTGTTACACTATCTAAATATAAGAGCCAAATGAAATTATTTTCCCTAGCAAAGAGAAATTATTTATGAACATTTCCAATAAAGGATTTTGTTTTGTTTCCCAAAACAAGGTTTCTCTGTGTAGCTCTGGCTGTCCTAGTTCTGTAGATCAGGCTGGCCTTGAACTGACAGAGATCCACCTGCCTCTGCCTCCCCAGCCCTTGGATTAAAGGTGTGCACCACCACTACTGCCTGGCCCAATAAAGGTTTTAAATGGCGTACACCTCTAATTCCAGCACTTGGGAGGCAGAGGCAAGTAAAGCTCTGAGAGTTTGAAGCTAGCATGATAGAATGATCTACCATAGTGAATTCCAGGACAGTCAGACACAGGAAGAGGGAAGGAGGGAGAGGGAGGGAGGGAGGCAGGGAGGCAGGGAGGAAGGAAGGAAGGAAGGAGGGAGGGAGGGAGGGAGGGAGGGAGGGAGGGAGGGAAGGCAGGCAGGCCAGGAAAGAAAGGCTGGGAGGGAGGGAGGGAGGGAGGGAGGGAGGGAAGGAAGGAAGGAAGGCAGGCAGGCAGGCCAGGAAAGAAAGGCTGGGAGGGAGGGAGGGAGGGAGGGAGGGAGGGAGGGAGGGAGGGGAAAAGAGAACCATAGTATGTTCAAGAAGCTGGATTTAAGCCCTAGTATAACCGTCACTAACAAATAAAAGCAATAGTGGGGGCTGGAGCAATAAATAGTTCAGTAGTTAAGTGCATTGGCTGTTCTTCCAGATGACTCAGGTCTATACCTAGCACCCATGTGGAACCTCATAATTGTCACTCTAGTCCCAGGACATCGGATGCCTTCTGGCTTCAGCAGACACTGTACATGTGCTATTCAGGTAAGGTATTCAGGCACATAAAATAAGAACTTAAAAATCTTTTTAAAAAAAATTTAAAAACCAGTAGTTCTATGTACCTATGTCCACAGTGCACAGCCTTCAGCACTCCAACAGCAGCTGTTGTCTGTCGCTCAAAGCCTTGTCCTATGTGATCTGCATGAGCTCTGGTCCTGTCTTCAAACAGCATCTCCCGGGGCTCACTGGTTCGAGGTAGATACTGAAGGTTTTTTATTTCATTGGTAGTTCTGTTTTTTATTTTTTTTTTAAAAAAAAGAGATTTGCATTTAAATACTGAGACTTGTTTCCTTACCAGATATTTCATAACCACATAATTTCAGACAAAAAGAGAGATTTCATTCTTAAAGTGAATAAAAAAGGCAAACAAAAACTATACCTGTCAAGGCCATTTCACACTTACTTAACGCAACACATACTTCTAGAATTACAGTTTTTCTTTTCCTTTTTGGTTTTTTGAGACAGGGTTTCTCTGGGTAACAGCTCTGGCTGTCCTGGAATTCACTCTGTAGAACAGGCTGGCCTTAAATTCACAGAGATCCACCTGCCTCTGACTCCTGAACATAGGGATTAAGTGTAGCACCACTGGCTAATATATTTTTAAATGTATTAATTCAATATTCATATGACACAAGCTTTAGGCCAGGTACTATCTATGTATAGTAAAGGAGAATACAGGAGAATTGCAAAGAAAAATACAAAGTAATTAATAGAAAAGACCACCCATACACTTACAAAGTCAACAACAAAGACCTGGGCAGTGGCTCCACAAAAAAGTTTACTAGAGGCAGAAACAAAGTCTTCAGGTCTGTTTTTGCAAGACAGCCATCTTCCACTGGCCCTCTTGTCCACTCATCTTCTAGAATTCAATAAGCACACAGAACCTGCTACCCACTTATCCTCATGCATTGCAGAGGTGTCTCCTCCAGTCAGTATACAGAAGGGACAAAAGAGTGATACCAACACTAGGCAAAAGCTAACATTTTCTTCCTCTGCAATGTGTTTTTGCGAGTCTAGATTTCCCCCCATAATCTGTCACTCTCCTCCTCCTCATATATCCTCCTGTGAGTCATTCATTAGTTGTAACTCTTCTCTCTACTGCTGGTTGCTTTGTGCATCCCTGCGTTCGCCTTATCGGGCTATAATAGACTTTTTTGCTGTTTGTGGTTAATATTCTATGTGTGTCAGAAAGTTAGATCATGCTGTTGCTTTCTGAAGGAAAGCTAACAGATTTCAAGCTGACATCACATTCAGATCCCTAACACAAGCAGTATGGAGTTCTGTTATTATCTGGACTGCAACAGGCCATGAAAGCATCACATATATCAAGGGCTCTAACCCCTGGAGTACACAGAAATCCCTTGAGAGATTGATGAGCCTTTTAAATTACATCTAAAAGTTTGTGTCTATATTATTCTGGCAACAGAATTTCTGATTAAAGTTGTTTAAGATCCTGAAATAAGCCAGATGTAATGAGGCACATCATTAGTCCCAGCACTCAGGAAGCTAAGGCAGGCAAATCTCTAAGTTGAAGGCCATCCTGATCTACACAGGAGTCCCAAGACACCCAAGGCCATGTAGAGACCCCCTGTCTCAAAATAATAACAATAACAACAACCCTGGTTTCGCAGTTAAAGCTAGGACTGCTCTTACTGAGGTGAGGGCCAGAGTTCAGTTTATAGAGCTCATGGTGGATGGCTAAGAACCACCTGTAACTCCAGATCAAGGAGGTGTGTCCTCCAGGGCACATACTCACACCGATAAAAACCCAAACAAAAACATGGAATTAAAACATTTTTAACGTAATCTTTGAAAAAAGAGAAAAGAATAACTTCCAAGAAAAGAAACACAATTTTACAATTGTTATCAACTAGAAATTAACTAATTGATTCCATTATCTCTGAAGCAGTAGATACCATATAACAAGCCCAACAATCCCTGCAGTTAAGAGACCTCCCATTTACTCAATGACATCTTGTCCTGTTGTTTTGGTTTTGTTTTAGATTTATTCATTTCATATATGTGTATATTTTGCCTGCTTATATGTAGTAGTACATCACAAGTGTACCTGATGCCTTCAGAGCCAAAAGAAGGTATTGGCTCCCTGGCCTTGGATGCTTGTGAGCCACCATGTGGGTGTTAGGAATAGAACCTGAGTCTTTTACAAGAGTGATAAGTGTTCTTAACTCCTGAGCCATCTCTGCAGACCCTGATTTGTTGTTTATAATAATCCATGTAACCACTGAAATCATTTTAAATAGCCACACTCTCCCATAGCACCTCCAATTCTATGATTACTGTACATGTTTCCAACTTTTTCTCCAGGCACACAGTTTCTAAAATATATTTTTTTAATAATTCTTTCAGATCACACATGCATAAAATATATTTTTATCATATTCTTCTCCTACTCTTCCCTATAACTCCTTCCAGATCTACCCCCCATGTCTCCACCTCTTCACAACTTTATGTCTTTATTTTTAATAACCCAACAGGTCCATTTTGTGCTACCCATATGCTCATCAGTCAACAAACACCCACCAGGACACAGCTGACCTGACCTACCAAGGACCACAATCTTTAAAAAAAAAAAAAAAAAAAGTTTAAAAAAATTAAAAAACTGGACTGCCTTTCCCTCAGAAGCCATCAGCTGTCAACGGTTAAGAGTCGGGGCTCATGTCCCCTCCATGCTAGAATGTTAACTGACTGGATCTTCTGCAGGCAACCATAGCTGTTTTAAGTTCACAAATGCAGCAATCCTGTATTAGCCTTCTGGGCAATGGGGTGTTATTAATGTCCCATTTAGGGATGAGTACTATACTGACACTTATTCAGTACACTCTGACCAGTTGTGAGTTTCTGTGTTATCCATTGTTTACCAAATATCAGTGTTTTTTGAGCCAAAGTTCCTTTTGTAACTTTGAACTCCCACCAATCCCTTTGTGCGTATAGTAATCTACCTGTCTAAACTTCCTGAATACTGACTGGGATGACATTCATGAGCCACCATACTGTCAACACAAATACATATTCACGGGAAGTTCCCCTCCCCATAAAAACAAAATAAAAAAACAGGGAAGGGTAATGCATGCCTGCAATCCCAGCAGTAAGGAGATTCAGACAGGAGAATCAAATTCAAGGCTAGTTGAGCATATATACACATATACAGACCCTGTCTCAAATAATCCTATTAGACTCATCCCTGGTTACAGTATAGAATGAGTCTTCTGGAAAGCCAGATACAAATTTTGAAGGACTTGAAATCAATCACAAAGAGAACTGATGGAAATACATTGCAGCAAGCCTAGCAAAGGGACTACAGATCTGAAATGCTGAAATGCAGTGGACTTTCTTTTAGAGCCTCTGGGGAGGGGGGTAATCTGGTCTTGTCTTGTGGGCCATTTGTTCCTTGTTTGGATAGGTAAGTGAGCAACTTTAATACTTTGTTGCATAAATGTGGCAGCATTATTTCTCATGATATTGGCTATCTGTGCAGGTACCACTGGCTGTTAAAGAGTTGGGCTCCAGATGACTGTAGAAGAAACCATGGGTCACTAGGGTCAAATCTCCAAATAGTGCCTACCTGGTAAGAGTATGGGGATTTTGCGCTCATTTTTTACCTATTCCCTCTACACTGATTTCCCACATTTTGCTCTTTTCAAGTGTCATGGATATTGTAATGTTTAATCTTGTCAGCTTGGCTGGATGAGTAATCACCTAGAATACACCTCTCTAGGTTTGTCCTTGAAGAAACTTCCAGAGAGATTTAACTGAGGAAGGAAGACCTACCCTGAATGCAAGTGGCACCATTTCACCAGCTAGAGCTCCAAACTAAACAAAGGAGTTCCCAAAGGGAGTGTTCAAGGAGCACTGGCACTCCTATGTTCCTGATGTGGCTGGAATATGAGCAAATGTCTCATGCTCTGCTGCCATGGTGGGTACTCCTCTCAAAACATAATACACACAGCCTCTTCCTTAAAATTGTTGTCAAGAGATTGTCATGGCAACCTAAAATGTAACCAATACAAATACCCTTCCAGATCTAAAGAGTATTTTACCATTTATTTAAAAAAAAAAAAAAAAGAAAGAAAGAAAGAAAAGAAATATACTCAACCATTCCCTAATGGTGGACATTCAGACAAAATTAAATTTCTTTCTTACGGCAAACAATACCACAATTAACATCCCTACATACCAGCTTTCTTCAGTGTTATTTTCCAAAGGGTAAGAAGTCACAGATGTTATTTTCACAAAACTGTAACCGCTTACTCTTCCATAAACAATATATATAAGGCTTAGTTCATAGGCCTGTAAGTCTGTAATCCTTTTTTATTGTTGACAAAATAATGAACAGAAATAAACCCCCGTTATCAAATAAAACTTACCTGCCAAGTGATGGTTTTTCTACTGGATTTGTACATGATCTCATTAGTTTGGGAAATATCCTTGGTACATTAGCTTTAGTCTCCAGTCAATAATTGTGTTAGTCTTTGCTGTTGAGACCTATTCTCCTCTAGACAGTACTGCTACTGGGTGGCTGGGTTGGTTTGTTCTAGCCTTGCTAGGAAAATGTCTTTAGGCTCCTAAGTTTTATGGTAACATTGTACTGTTTATCAATTAATCTGTAACATGTCTTTAGGAGATCTGACTCTGTTTCTTTAAAATATACTACCATCAGCCAGGTGTTGGTGGCACATGCCTTTAGTCCCAGCACTCGGGAAGCAGAGGCAGGCTGATCTCTGTGAGTTCAAGGCCAGCCTGGCCAACAGAGTGAGTGCCAGAACAGGCTCCAAAGCCACACAGAGAAATCCTATCTCGAGAGAAGAAAGAGAAAAAAAAAAAAAAAAAAAAAACATATAAACTCATTCTCACCAGTGTTAGGAGTCCAATGAAGTGAAAAACCCACTGAAGTGCCCATCACCCTTCTTCCATCTGGAGACAGTGGACTTTCCTCCATCTGGAGACAGTGGACTTTCCCTTTCTCTGTGTTCCTTCATGTCATCCCATAACATTAGCTCTTAATGCAAGCTTTGAATATTTGTTCAAAAGTTTATTTCTCTGTACGAGTGACATCTCCACTCCTAGCTGTAATTTACTCTCCTTTGCTTATTTCTCATGTCTCATTTATTGTTTATGTTTTATAACCAAGTATATTAATGTATGGCCTATTTTGGGAATTTTCTTCCCCTTATGCTGTAAATGTTTTCTCCTTCTTCACTAGACACAGACACACACACACACACACACACACACACACACACACACACACACCCCACACCATGCCATCCCCTCTAATAAAGATGTGTACAACAAACCTTTTCCTTTTGAAGGGTGACTTTGGCATATCAGCCACGGGGATCATTTGCTCTCCTGGGCGCACCCACATAATGGGACCATCATCACTATCTTTCCGACTCTCTAATTTTAGACTAGATAGTGTTCCCCATGGCAATGTACACTAGAAACAAATGATTACACAAATTAGTTCCTTTCAAAATATATCTTCAAATATGTACTAAAAATATTACAAGGAGGGATATACGGGTGGGTGTGGGAAAGAAAAGGGGCAAATAATGTAATTATATTGAAATCTCAAAAGAAAAAATAAGAAGTTGACCTGATAATTAAAAGAAATACTCTTTAGTTCTTCTTAAGAATCTGTACACTGTATTAATAAAGGCTAAAATTAGACTGGAGAAGAAAAAACTGTTCCCATTGTATATGTATATGTATAAATTCATATACAACTTAAGCACTTTAAATACATCTAGATTAATATATCCCTATTTTTCATATACTTAGTTTCAAAAGGTTCTGCTTCAAACATACTAGAAGAACAATTACACTCAGATGGTTCATTGACTCACCCTGTTAGATGTATGAATCAATGCATTCATTCATCATTTGTCACTTTTCTTTCTAACAAACACAGTTATATAATTCTAATAAGTTGAAAAATTAGCAAGTGGTCTCCACACAACAACCTTGAAGACAAGCTTGAGTTAAAAAAAAATCAAATGTTTCCTTAATTTGTGATAATCAAATTCCAATGACATAAAAAATACCTAATATTTGTCTAGTAGTTTCTTGAAAAGGCTGTTGGTCTAAAAGCAGAAACTGAGTTTTTTTTAAAAAATGAGGGATAATGAAAGAAAGATTACCAGATTAGAATAATGTGCTTTTTTTTTTTTTCATCACCTCATAGTCCCATTTGAAAGGAGGACACATTTTTCTAGGTACAATGCTTAAAATAAAATTTGAAGCAACTATTTACTTCAGTAATGTTCTATAAAATATTGATTAATGATCATAATCAAAGTACTTGATATGACTAGCTAGAAAAAGAGAAACAAAAAGCCTAAAAACTATAAAGGAGGAAAAGAAAGAACAATAAAAGAAAATGAAAGTAAAACACAGGATGCAGGAAATCAGTGATGCCAAGTAACACAGAAGAAGCCAGTCTGACCTTGTGCTTTGTACTGTGGTCCTACATTTCAAGAGAGGTTCATACTCATCCTTGAATTATTTACTATTAAATAATTAACCACCCAATTCAGAGATTTCTCTCTCAATGGGATACCCCAGGAAACCCATAGTAAGAATGCAATAGCTGTTTCAAAACTAAAAGGGAGGGCCTGAGTAAGAGCTTGGCACACAAAATGGGTAACCTGAATTCAAAACCACAACTCATACAAATGTTTAAAACAGAGATAAAACTTAAAAAGATGGGGAAGGGGGAACCCACAAAGCAGACATGCACCTCATGGCACATATGTGCCTCAACCTAAGCCCACATGTACTAGTAATAATGAGTAAAAATTAAAAATAAATATGTAAAATGGAATTTGATTAGAAATCTTATAGACTACATAATGGAGCATAAGTTGAATATTTGTTACAACTGTACAATTCCCCAGACCAGTTTCCCACAATGTCAACCCACCACACCTTCCTTCTTAAACTATATCTTAAATCCTCTTGTAATTATCTACAAAAAACAACCAGGTGGCATTGACAGGCAATGTTACTTGCTGGCTAGCCCTTTCACTCTACCATTACAATAAAGATTGAGAAACTGCATACACACAGAGCACAAGATTACAGTTTCCTCCCTTTTTCTTCTTCGGATTTAAATAAAATTAATAAAAACTAATTCTATACAACTATTCATCTGTATCAACTACCACACACACAAGTAGAATGCTAAGACTTCCTCTTACTTTTAAGAATGGTGACTCCTCCAACATGTCCAGGAACTCTGGAAAGAAATCCCCCACTTCTTCATCAACGGCTCCCACCAAGCTTATCTGCCGCATGGGGCCAGCTCTGTAAGTACCATGAGAATATGTTCTTTTTACCTGAGGGACATGAATTTAATTAAAAGTTAGACATGTAGACATGAAGACATCAGGATTTTATTTTTATCATAATCAACAAGCATTGATTCTTTGCATTTTTATCATAACAACATTTTTTTTTTTTTAACAAGGATTCCAGGTTTAACTTCTTCATTATCCATTAAAACTTCATGGCTCATATTCACTAACCAAGTCCTAAATCACAAAATGTATAGATTATACCCTGTCTTATAGTGAAGGTCTTACTGTTGTCTGTCTCCTAACAGGTCCTATCAATCCCCTATATCAGCAATTCTCAACCTTTGGGTTGTGCCAGATATTTACATTATGATTTTTTTTTTTTTCCTTTTTTTCTTTTTCTTTTTCCTGAGACAGGGTTTCTCTGCAGCTTTGGAGCCTATCCTGGACTAGCTCTTGTAGACCAGGCTGGTTTCAAACTCACAGAGATCCACCTGCCTCTATCTTCTGAGTGCTGGGGTCAAAGCCACTGCCGGGCTACAATTTCTTAACAGTAGCAACAAAATAATTTTATATTTGGGCATCACCACAACATGAGGAACTAAATGGTTGCAGTATTAGAAAGGTTGAGGCCCACTGCCCTAGAGGAACAAAACTAAAAGTCAAAACTTACTCTCCACCATTCTCAGGCTCTAGTAGCTTCAATGCATTAACAACATCACAGTAGGAAGCGTGGTCATGAGTGTAGTTCAGTAAGGTAATCTTTAACTAAAGCTAAGGTTACCATCTGAACTGTAGCGAATATACCATAATACCAAACGAAACTCTGTTAAATGATTCTGCATTTATATCCTTGGTTTGAGATCTGCATGTGACCATATGAGTATGACAGGCCATAAGACTATTAAATAGAGAAATTAGAGCTGAGTGTACAGATCTGTAGAATCCCTTGCCTAGTATTTATGAAGTCCTGGGTTTGACCCCCAACACAGGTGTAGAGAAGGGAGGTAAAGACAAGAGGGGAAGAAAGAGGAAGGGAAGTAAAATCAACTTATGTTGTAAGACACAAATTTTGCAAGAGTTTTGAAATATAACAAAGGACAATTTAGGTAGGTAATATTTCTATGTCATACAGGCAGATAAGTTTCCTGTGCATACACATTTATTTAAATCAGATACTTAAGTATCACCTATGTCAATAGTCAGTCTAAACACCAATAAATTATTGGTACACATGTATAAACAAAAATACTAAAACATAGGCTGAGTGGTGGAGGTGTATACCTTTAATCCCAGCACTTGGGAGGCAGAGGCAGGTGGATCTCTGAGTTCGAGGTCAGCCTGATCTACAAAGCAAGTTCCAGGATAATCAGGGTCACACAAAGAAACCCTGTTTCAAAAAACAAGGTGTGTGTGTGGGGGGGGGGGAGACATGCTAGAGATAGCTCAGTGGTTATGAGTACTGCTGCTCTTTCAGAGGACCCAGGTTCAATTTCCAGCACCCACATGGAAACTCACAACTCCAGTTCCAGGGAATCTGACACTGTCACACAAATATACACGGCAAGCAAAACACCAATAAAGTGAATAATTTTTAGAAATACCAAAACATTATTAAATTATGAAAAATGAGATGAACACAGTTCACTTTACTAAAACACATAATTAACAATGAACCATTCAATAATGTATATGGCTTATCATGAGAGCCAAGAGGTCTTGTCTAAAGTAGTAAGCACAACTTCTCCATGAGCTCTCTCAAAGACATGAGTATGTTTAATACACTTTCAAAGCAAGAAAAACAAACTTTGTCTTATATGTAATAATTAAAAACCTGCATTCAAAAGACACACAAAGAAAGAATACTGTCTAAATTGAATTTGAGGGCGATTTAGGAGATAGGGGAAATGTAAGTCTGAAAATATAAGTCAATTTAGCTAATAGGTGAATGAAGATATACTATGTTTGAAATAATTCATTTCTCCAATAAGTAAAAAACTGGCTTCTACCCCACTTGTCATATAGTTTGTTTTTAATTCAGATAACTATTTCTACTCCTCAAAAAAGAGGCAGAAGGCTGGTGGGTGGTGTACATCTTTAAGCCCAGCACTCAGGAGACAGAAGCTGGCAAATCTCTATGAGTTGCATCCATCCTGGTCTATATAGAGAGTTCCAGGACAGTCAAAGTCAGGTACAGTAGTACAGGTCTACTGGGAAGTGGGCACAGGTTTTGTGAACTTGAGGCCACTGAGGAAGGGAAGTGGAAATACTAAACAATTACTCAGAAAACCAGGGTTACTAACAAATTTAACATTAAGCCCTTGTAAAGTAAAACCTGTATGTTTATATATAAATAAATGTATCATTAAAGTGAGTAAGATTTGTTAGAATAGTGCAAAAAGTAGGTTATATCACTATTCAACTGTGTTAAGTGATTTGACTGTATCAGCTGCTTTAGACGACAATGATCATTTCACTGATTAAAATTCTTTATTAATCCAACCAAAAATGCGTTGAAATGCAACATATAATCAACTATGACAAACCCATTTGAAATCAGAACAATTCACTTCAAGTTTTAACCATAGTAAAATATTAATATATTAACAAAAATGTATTCAATGTATAATAATATGTTCAAGTTGAAAAAATAAAATATACAGATGGCAAATAAAAAAACACATATGCTTTTGATTAAAAAAAATGGTTAATTTGACTGTCTCCCATTTTATTACAACAGTGTGATACTCAAAATTTCCTTATTATGTTAAAGTTAAATAATACCACATGAAAATAAAACCTCAATTCTCTAAAAACCACCTATGACAATTTCTAGTAGGAATGATCCAAAAGGCAGTTGGGAGGGAGAAGGGAGGAGATAAGGATTAGGAGACTCTAAGTAGCTAAAGCAAAGTCATAAGACTGTGGTTCATAAAGCTCCCCCACTATAGATACATACTCCTATTTTAGGCGCAGTTAAAATAATCTTTCAGATCAGATAAAAGGGATAAAAACCCCACAAATTTGGGATGGAGGAGGAACAGTGTGACAGGCACAGCTGCAGGATGTATTACATCATTATAATGACCGGCACAAAAATGAGTTAAGTTATGGTGCAAAGATTTAGTAAAAATACAGTCCTATCATTGTTAAAATCTTAGCAATGTTAATTAGGAAAAAAAATCACTTATCTGGAAAACCTCAAATCCTGATAGACAGATGTAACACATATACTTCTATTTACTTCATTAAAACCATCAACCCATTACTTTTGATATATTTTTTTAAATTAACCTAAAAAAAAAAGATGTAACTATTTGCTTCTTAAAAGTAAATATAATGAACTATAAAGACTATCCATATAGTTCCTATAGATTTGGGCAGGGGATGGAAAGACAGATCTCAAGCACAATAAAAAAGACAGGCATGGTACATGTAATCATATAGTTCTTGCAAAGTCCTACATATACACAGTGCCATTTAGAAGACATGTAACGAGCATATAAAAAAATATGCTAACTTCATTACTCATTCAAAAATACAAATGAAATACAGGATGTAGCTCAGCTGGTAGTGCCTAGCAGGTAAATATGTACATGTCCCTGGATTCAAACCTCCACCCCCATGTTACATGGAGCCAAGTATACTGCTTAATCTAAATCTCCCCTGTAGTCTCCCCTCTCTAAAAAGAAGCTATTATTATCGTAGTTGCACTTGGGAAGCAAAGGCAGGTGGATCTCTGTGAGTTCAAGGACAGCCTACAGGGCAGGTTCCAAGACAGCCAGGGTTACACAGAGAAACCCAGTCTCAGAGAAACTCCAGCTCCTCCTGCAGGATCAGGAAGCCCCGTTCCTGTGTCTCTCCCCCAAACTATGCCCACTCAGAGAGTCTCCAAAGGAAATGAACCAAAAATCTCAGTTCCACTTTCTTGGCAGCTACTGAAGCTTCCTCCACCCTGAAGTTGCCTCTGCCCAAGTCCCCACCTAAAGCACTCAGTTTTTGACCATACTTGGGTACAAACCCAGCTAGTGGAGGACACATCATCAGCCCTCACTTTCAACCTACAAAGTCTCCCTGCTTTCATTTGTGGGCTCTGCTTCTCAGGCCTCAATCCTTGGGACTAGAGAACTTGCCTGCGAGTTGCTTTGTTCAAAAAAATCTATTATCTGGCTTAGTGCATCGGTGGAGAAATGGGGGGGGGGGAACAGAAAATCTATTCCTTATAACACCTTCATGATACAAAAAAATAACAAAAGAACAATGCAACCATTCTAAAAATAAATCATGAGCAGAAATAAACTCCTAAGACTTAATGCTATTTCTGTTACATAAAGACTTCTCCATTTGGGGGAACAAAATGATAATGAGGGGCTTTAGAACACAAAAAAATGACTTAGATGAAACAATTTGTTATTTCCCAAAGTATGCTCCTTGAAACTAGGTCTTTATGATAGTCAAGTAAGTTTGGAAAATCCTTTTGCATTAGAAGCCCATATGTACACTAAAGTTTTGAGAAGGCTCTTAAAAAATAAGCCTAATTTGTTTGAACTAGGAATGCATAAAGTATTTTTATTTCAAAATTTAGTACACCTATCAATATCCTAAGACATTAAAAGTTCTTCTGAATAGCAATCCATAAAATATTTATGACACACACATTTAAACTTGTATCAATGTCAATTGGGAGTAACAGAAAAACAGGTTCAATGCTGGCACTTAACGATGAAAGAGGAAAGCAGCTGATGCTTTTGTCTCATTGCTTGTTTTTAGAAGTAGAGCGGTCCATTATTTTAATAAGTGAGTTGTTCATCAAGTATTGTTTACCATTTATTTGTATGTTCATTATTTATTTGTTTATGTAGTGCATGTATATGCATGGGAAATGAAGGGAATTTGGGGTAGAGGTTAGAATGTGTGTGGACATGCCAAGGCACACATAAATGTGCAGTGTAGAGGTCACAGGACAACCTGTGGGAGGTTGATTGTCTCCTCCCACAGGGATCAAACTCAGGCTGGGCTTGATGGCAAGTGTCCTGGACCCT